GCATCAAAAGGAAAAATAGAAATAACAATAGAAATAAATGAAAATACAGAAATGAAAATAATTATGGACGTAATAGAATCAGTAGAAAAAGAATTAATATTAGGAAATAATGTGTTAAGAGAAAAGAAAAGAATAATAGACTATAATGAAAAGACATTAATATTAAGAGAAGATGGAAAAGATATTGAAATACCAATAGAATATGAAAATAATGATGAAAATATTAATGATAATAATGATAGTGATGATAGTGAAGATGAAGATAGTGAAAATGAATATGAAGAAACAAGTGAACGAGAAATATATTTAATAAATAATGAAGAAAAAGGACATATCATAGAGGTAAGGTTGCTTGCCGAAACCTAGGGGTTTAGGCAAGATGGCATTTTGCCGAAAAGCGAAATTCTGCCGAAACTATATTAAAGTTATATTAAAAAACTGACGAAACTTTGAAGAAAGGCGAAACTGCCGAAACTTATTATAAATGCCGAAACTGCCGAAACTCTGCGGAAACTATAATAAATCTATAGTAAAATTTTGACGAAACTAATCGTAGGATTTTGAAGAAGTTTAGACAAGCAACCTTACCGAGTGTAGTCATGCATTATCATCTTCATCATAATTTCTAGCTATTCTTCTAAATTTTGGATTTTCATTATAAATTTGTCCATATGTTATGTTCGCTTTTTCATTATACATATCCATTACATATTTTTCTGGTGGTACATTAACTCGTACTCTAATATTTTTATTTCCTCTTTTCATTCCCGGATTTGGACATTCTCTTATAAAATGACCTCTTAATCCACATCTTTCACATTGATTTTGTCTTCTTCTTGATTGGTATGCTTTATCTCTATCTTCTTTATTAGAAAATCTTCCTTTTCTTTCACCATCAATATCCATTTTTATATCATATTCTTTTTTTTGGTGGTATTGGAACATCTTCAATTTCCATTTCGATATCTTCATTATCTAAATCTCATCCATATTTTCTACCACTTCTTAAAGTTGGAAATATTTCTTTTTCATACTTATATGTTTCGTAATTATTATAATAATTACCATTATCATAATTTCTATTATTATCGTAATATCTTTCATGGTCCATTAAATTTATATTTCTATTATTACTATTATTTCTTCTTTCATTATTATTCCTATTAAAATTATTTTGCGTTCTATAATTATTCTTTCGTCCTATTTGTGGACATTCTGGTCTTATATGACCTTCTTCATTGCATTCATAGCATCTCATAATTCTTACATTTCTTGTATTTATATTTCTATTTATATTTCTTCTTTGTTGATTTTTTATTTCATTTAACATTTCTCCCATAGCTATTTTTTCTGCTCTAAATTGTTCTAACGCTTTACTTATTTCATCAATATCTTTTTCATTAACTGGCTTTTGCATTTTTTTATATATTTCATTTTCTTCTTTTTTATTCGTTTCTTCTTTTAAAATTTCTTCTATATTCTTTTCTTATCCTACTTGTCCTATATCTAAACTCATTGTTTTCATTAATAACTCACCTCTAGCTTCTTCTTCCCTTCTTGCCATATTAACTGCGTCATTTAGATTCGCTGGACTACTTCTTCTAACTTGATATCCTAACATAGGTTCTAATCCTTGAATAAAATAATTTACTTGGTATAACTCATGTAATACTTGACCTCTAGTCGCAATTCTTAATATTGATCTAAACCTTCTGGTATATTCTTCGACACTTTCATTTTTTTCTTGTTTAATCCTTGTCAATTCTATCATTTTTCTTCTTTTGACATCTTCCCTAGTGAATCTATCAATTAATTTATTTTTCAAATTTCTATCGTCATTATGATCACACCAGTTTACTAAATTAGCTGCTACTCTTTCTTTTTCTTCATTATACCATTGTAATGCGGTTCCTCTTAAACATGTTATTGCTACATTTGCTTTATTTTGACTACATATACCTCCTCCAACATTTCCTTCTGTTCTTCCACTTACTGTAAATGCTACTTTAAATTGTCTAATCCAATCGTTAATATCTTCATCTTCTCTTCCACTAAAAGTTGGCATACCTACTATTCCTCCCATTCTTGCAGTTTGAATTCTATCTATTAAAGTTTGTCCTGCTCCTAATACATTATCTAATGTATTAGGTGCGAGTCCTATAGCATTTTCCACTATTCTCTTTATTTGATCTTGATTTGCCATATCTAACAATATATTCTCTTGAAATAAATCTTGTAAATTATAATCAGATACTTCACTTTCACTATCAGAATCTTCAATATTTAATGAATTATTCGAATCTGAATTTTGACTTAACCCAAAACCTTCTGTATTTATAACATTTTCATTTTCACTCTCAAATTCGTTCTCATTGAAACTTTTAATATCTTCTTCCCAAATTTCATGTTCTCTGGATCTAATATTTCTCCAATCTTTTCTGAATCATCTGTATCATCATTTTCTTCTTCAACTTCTTCTTCACTTTCTTCAATTTCAAATTTCTTTAAATATTCATCTAATATTTTCCTTATTTCTTTTTCTGATTCATCATATATATCAGACATTTTAATTTATTTTATTTATTTATTCACTTATAAAATGATTTCACTTCGTATTTTTAATTTATTTATATTTTATTCATATAATTATTCATTTATTATTTCAATCTTTATTTCTTTACATTCTCATGTACATGACTTCTTATTACATTTCTCTTATTACATCTTTTATTATATAATATTCTATTACTTATAACTTAACATTCTTCAACTTTATCATTTATTTCTTTTAAAACACAATTTAAATTCTAATATTTTTAAAGTTCCAGCTTTGATTCTATAATTTTTCTATACATTCTATAATATAATCTATAATCGCGATTTTATTTATAAAATTTCCATATCTTGCGCAAATAAACTGTGATCAAAGCTAGGGATTATTTATAACTGGGGCCACCCAGTATCAGACTAATATGATCACCAACAAAGGCTTATTTATACTGGGTCCTCCCAGTGTGCTCTTATTTATACTGGGATTCTCCCAGTTCTATACACAAAATTAAACTTTTTAATAACTTTTAATCTTTTTCTTATATTAACTTTTCAAAATATTTATTTCAAATCTATTTCATATTATTTTATTTCTCGCATTTCATTTTTATAATTCATTAATATTTTCTTATTATAATTGGATAGCCACGGATTTTTAAGCGATCAACGTACTAAAATTTCTGTTGACATAACGCCCCTGGTGACACAACTATTTTTTCTATTATTTTCTTATTCATTTATATTTTTATTAATCAGTCGTCCCTGCCCAAGGGGCAGCTATATATTTCTTTTACTGCGCCTTATCTCGTGACTTATACTTTCTTTTATTTCTTTTATTTACTGCGCTTCATCACGTGATTTACATTACTCACATGATTTGTACAACATTTTATTTATTTTACGTAACATACTTACGCAATTTCTCTTATTACATCATTATTACATCATTTTATTTCATATAATTCATTATTATCTTTTACAATCTTTCATATCATTCTTTTATTGTAATAAAATTATTTCTCATATATCAAATAATAACATTTCAATATTTCTCATATTTACAATATCCTTTAATTTTCTCTTTCATTTAGTAACCTATACCNCTTTAATTTTCTCTTTCATTTAGTAACCTATACCGGGCTTGCCTTTACCTTCTTCATAGAAGTATAGTAGTTTATGGGTTTGTCACTAATAACTTTTCTTCTCTTATAATATTTTTCAAATTTTTCAATCATTTATTAATTTCTTATTATTCACAAAATTCATTCTCATTATAAATTTTATTTTCATTTAATTAAATCTTTTCATTATTATCTTGAATATTTCATTCATCTTTCCGATATATACTTTTTCAATATATCGTATATTTTCATTTCTCATATATTCCGTAATATTCCTTTTTCATAATATTACTTTCTCTTATTTCTCGTATATTATTCAATAATATTTTAATTTTTCTTATATATTTTCTTTTACTATATCCCTTTTCATATATAATAACACTTTTTTCATATTTCAGATAAGTCTTCCTTATCTATTATTTCTTTGATGATTTCTCATACCATCTATTATTTCTTTGATGATTTCTCATATCATCTATTACTTCTTTGATGATTTCTCATATCATCTATTACTTCTTTGATGATTTCTCATATCATCTATTACTTCTTTGATGATTTCTCATATCATCTTTTACTTCTTTGATGATTTCTCATATCATCTTTTTCTTATCTTTTTCACAAATTTTCTTTCATTTTCTCATATAATTTTCTTTTATTTCTCATTTAGATCTTGTATGAAGACAACAATCTTTTACTTTCTCGTGAGCATGCACCAAAAATGTGACACGCCGCCCATAGGATATTAAAATAAAATATCGTATGTTGCCACCGACGTGTTGAGTTCGAATAATATCTATGCTTGGTTTAAGAATAAAAATTAGTTACAAAACATTAATAAACCATTAATTAAAAATTATTAATGTGGCACTTTTTACTCATAAGAAAAAGGCTAAAAGAATATGTTAGTTTATTATTAAGGGCGAACTAAAATTTTTATTTTCCAAAAATTGAACTCTCGAATTTCCTATCGAAATCCACTTGTATTTATACATTTTTAAGAAAAATATTTCTAATATTTCTAATATTTCTAATAAAATTTGAAGATCTATTATCATATGACTATCTCGTTACACTAAACTAAACTATAAATATAATTTTATTGGCTAATTATTTACCCATCGGTTAATTATTTATCCTTCGGCTAATTATTTATCCTTATTCTATTTTATTGTATTTTCGGTTATTACAACATATGCAAAGCGCTTCTGGCTAATTTATTGGCACTATCATGACGTTAAGTAGTTTGGGATGATCAGCTGGTTAATTTAGTTTAGAGCTCCAAAAATGATTCGCATAAACTCGCATTTTTGACTCGCATAATTGTAAATTTTCGTTTAATTATATTCTAGCTTAATAAAAAGTACTTTAAAATTAAGGTTTTTAACTCGTAACTTGATTTAACTTGACTCATTAGGAGCTCTAATTTAGTTATATAGATTCTTCTCGCAACTTAAATCACGAGAGATTGGCAAATGGGTATTTTTATTTATTCGATGAGCGGGTCACACAGCATTTATAAGTTAAAAAATGTTATCATTAAAAAAACAAAGCCCATTATGGTTAAAACTTTATTATTATTTATGCATAATTACTCAAAAATGAAAACCCTGGACATGCGTGTCCACTAATTGCGCAATAATGTGGTGCAGTAATATCTAACTCCGTTCTGCTCTCAGGACTCCAGCAATGACACGATCAACATTACTATCAGATAAATTTAAAATAGACCTTGCGGGAAAAGATCTAATTCATACTATTTTCGTTCTATCAATGCTATTAAAAAGCTTATAAACTTTCCCAGCCCTTTCCATTCTCTTTCGCAAAGCATCATCAGAAAATTTTATTTCAGGAATTTGTTTTCTAACTTCTTCTTTAACAAGAGCATTAGCTCCATCCTTACCACAGCTGGGTTTTAACTCCTTATATTGCAAATATAAAACTTCTCCAAAGTCAAAATATCGATTGATGACATTTTGTGTTGCATCTTTATTTTTTATCTCAGCTTGGTCTATCATATCAGAGAAATATAAAAATTTTCTGGTATTTAGTAAAGCATCTGACACATTTGATTCTCCCAAGACTTCACCAGAATCAGGAGTTAACAGCTCTTCAATAAGCTTTTTTAGCACTGTAGAAACATCATCCTTATTAGATGTCTTCCTTTTCTTGCTGGAGGATTTTTCAGTAGAAGATTTCTGAATGCATTTTTTCTGTGTATTTGACTCTTGGGCGACAGCTACCATATCATCGTCATCAATTTCCATATCAGTTGATGGACATATAGGGCATAGCTTTCCTGGATTATCGATACAGTTGTAATGGATGATATGTTTGCAGGTTAAGTATACGAGAGGTTTTGGTGGAGGATGAGAAAAGGTTCGAAGAAAGCCTAGAGGAGGAAGATACAAAGAAAGGTTCTCAGAACATTTAACACATCTTAATTGACTTCCCATCTGTTGAGTTCCTATATTCTCAACCCCTTCCATACGCCTTTTGCTCATCATGTTAGTTAAGGCCAAAGTTCTGCTTGATTGGAATAATGGTGAATCTTGAATAATAACATTCGATTCTGGCAATTGGCCAATCGGATAATTCACAATAGTAGAAAATATTTCTGTGATTTCTATATTCTTTTCACAATCAGAGAATGGACATGGGTTTGTACATTAAGCATAAGCTTTTTTTCAGCACAAAGTCTATGAAAAATGTGCCCACAGCGTAGTCGGGTGAACTCTCTGAGAGGAAATGTCAAAATGTCGTTATTACATTCAGAGCATAATTCTAATTCTGGGAAATCTATATCACTGACGGTTTTATCATCGAGACTTTTGAGAATATTATATCTGAGATTTCTATACCTAACGAGAGAGGGTCTCTCAGATTCCGAAATACTGCTCTCTTCTCTACTTTGTGTGTTGCCGATTGGGCCAATATTGATTTCATCAACAGTGGTCGCTTTCGTATTAACTGAGCTCTTTTGATTCTCCATACCTGCCCACTTATCACTCTCGTAGTCAGCTATCTTGCTGGCTAAAGCTAAAGACGGGTTTTTATATCACTTGTAAATTTCGCAGGAAAAAACATTCCCCAGCAATTACGCACTACATTTCGTCATTCATTAACCCCTTGCAAATCAATAAAGATGACTTCATAAATCTCATATGCGAAATAAAAAATACTTAGTGAAATGATGCTCCGGTTTTATTTGTCCCAATCATCAATATTCTGGAAAGAATAAAAATGGGCCTCAGACGTTAATTCTAATTATTCTAATTATTCTAACTATACAATAATAGCAACTGACATTAAACTTTATGGGAAATTATACTGTCAGTGATGCTAACAAACTCTCAGAAAATCTGTACGAAAAATGGTGTTAGTTTGCAAGTCCATACAATCGAAATGAAATATTCCACCTTGATTGCATCCAGAACTTTCGTCTCCAATATTTTTCGCCAGCACCTCTTCATATTGCAGTAGGCGCTTATTTTCTAATTTATTTTGGTTTTGATAGAAAAAACATTGCATTTATTATCGTACACAGTACAAATTATTACACAAAAAAATTTAATCTTTTCTAAATTTGATCCATTGAAAAAAAATATCACTAAAAATTACAGCAACTTTGGTGAAAAACACAGAGATCGTTGCTGGTAAAATTTTGATAAATATTGGTAAAAGTATTGATAATAATAGCCCTAAGACTATTAAAATACAAATAAGAATATTATTATACCAAACGATATTATTCCAACGTAATTTGTTAAATAACATTATAATCTCAGTGATAAAAATCATTGAGTTCAACGCTAATGAAAAATATTTTAGGGTTTCTTCATTGTTTTTAAATTTAGTCAAGCCAAGAAGAGCAAGTGCAACAAGGGCGGTCACGTAGAGACAAGCGTAAATTAGTTTTTGACTAATGTCCTAGAAACCGACGGAAAGGGTATGTTAAGAAACGACAAAAGAGCCGAAAGAGCTAAAATAGTTTTAGTAAAATATTCTAACAAAATATGTGACACATAGCTAAACATACCGATCTTTCGCGCCAAGCCCTATCTCTCTCCACAAGAACTCGAATAAAAATGGTTTTTGCATTGTCATCCGCCTGGGCGTTAAATGTTGTTCTTTCTCGTGCGGTCATCTTGTTATATACTTCTGTTTCGGTAGGATTGAGACCAAGTCGAGCGGGGGTGCCATCCGCCATTTTAGAATTGAATAAAATTGATAAGATTTTAGAGATGAATAGAATTGATGAGTTTAGAGATGATGTATAAATACAGTCAGAAAGTCAAATGATGTGAAACGAATACTACGCAGGATCATAATTAATTTTATCGTCTGCCCTGAATTATACGTGTACTGCGTAAATTATCAATTAATCAGTTTATGCATGATTTATTTATGTAAACTTATTGTTCTCTAATTGTTTGTCTATTCAAGGAGTAAATTTATTGCTATTTTAATTCTGCTAAACTGTTTCTGCCGACGATCTATATTTCGGTTACTCATATCATTGATCTCACATGACTAGACTACGCCACAATCGCGAATTTGAATTTATTGCCTGAGATCAGGATGTGACAATTCAGAATTTTTCTCATCACTTAACAAAGTGTCTTTCGGCTGAGCACAGGTGGACGATTCTATCTTAATGCTGTAGTCAACTGGCACATTATCTATGATATACTGAATGTCTTCATACGTCATTTTTGAAATACTGCTAACAGAGAATGAATGTGCATCAAAAAGCTTCCAGAGTTTCTTGGCCTGCTCGATTCTTTTCCATAAAAGTGCATCAGAAGTATCTGCAGGAAGCTGAGCTCTAACTTCCATATTTAAAATTCTACTGACAGCATTGGATTCCAGATCAACTTGTTTTTCAGACGCTATTTCACTTCGTCTCTGGATAAGAGCTTTTCCAAATTGACAGTAACATATAATGGCCCACGATCAGCAAAGATGTATGGATACAATTATAATACATAAGCATACGTAAGCATACATTTATTACCATACATACGTACATATCGTTCCATACAATACTTCTTTTTTATATACTCATAGTATAGTTAATAAATAAATCTAATTCAAAATATGCAGATCTTTAAAAATTTTTTTCAATGAAAACGAAAAAAAAATTATTTATTTATATCCAATATACTATTTATACTAATAAAATGTCATTATATTACAAAATATTAAAATCATTACAAAATGTTATTATACATATTATAAAATTATTAATTAGTGATAAAAAAAAACATAAAAAAAACCTAAAGTTAAGATTTATGATTTTCCGGAATCTGTAAGATTCCTTTCAGTATCTTCTATAAATCCATTTAATAATGATCATAATCCAAATCAGCTGAATTTAAAGGTTGTTTTTGTACTGGAGTAATATCAAAGTTATTCAGAATTCATCTCCCCACTAGTATCATTAAATCAATGATATTACTAATAGCCAATTCAGTATTTGAAAAATTTTCTGATGGTAAAGTTTAATTTAAATTATTATCTCCATCAAATATTCACAGTATCATCATCCAGACGTAATAACATTAGTAGAACATTTTTTTACCACGTATCAATGATAGGCCATTTAAAAGATTTAAGGAGCACATACATATGATAAACCGGTTTCCTTTTACAAGTTCGTCCCCTCCAGATTCAAATTTTTCTACAGAATTATCTCTTAATAAAGTATTGGGAACATGATATGGGTTAAAATAAAAAATTATGTTTGTTTTTTGCTATATGTATTTAACGTAATATGAGGTTTGCGTCATTAATTATTCGAACCTTGCGATCGTGAAGGCCTATAATAAAAAATTTTGGACTTTATTAATGATACTATAAGAGCTGTATTCAATATATATGTAAAACGACCTTACCTTACGGGAGTTTAAATTTGTCTAGGTGTACAGTTTTTATTGTTGTTATTTGAGAGGACTCTTCTGCTATTTTATATTTAAAATCTTTTGCTTTCTTCCCGCAAATTTCTGCCGTTCGCCCTACACGATCTACAAGATTCTATTAAACTTTCATTAGTAATGTCTTAGTAATATATAAAGAAAAAACTAATAAAAATAACATACCCCGTATATTAGGAATTGTTTGCATAAGAGAACGAGTTCGTTCACGTCTTCATTTTCTGTTGGTAGATTCTCTGAGGCCCAATCCCAGAAGCCATATAAATCTCGAGTGTAAGACTAACAGGAGACCGAACACTCTTCTTCCCCATACAAACAGAGCAGGATGTAGCACACCAACTGATAAAATGTATTCCAGGAGTGCTAACCTTTAATTCATTGCTCATGGCATAAGCCTTCTTCCAAGCTTTTGTCTTTTATCTCCGTATATTATCAACACTTCTAATTCCAGGCGCAATGAATTATGAGAAGATTGAACCATTTTTCTTGTAGTATTTTCTTATAGAATAACTCCCAATTTTCTATTCCTCCCCATTCCGAAACTGGTTTTTCCCAGAAATCTGTTACGAGTTTGAATATTAGAAGAAATATTGGTATCGAGAATAATAAACAAAAAAGATTTACCACTATATAGAAGCTTTGGCCAAGTGCTTTCATATATATATATATATGGTATACCATTTTTTAACATTTTGATGTAAATTGTTAGATATGTCAGTGGGTTGTGTATTGACTAATTGCAATTTGATTAAATAACATTTTTTTTCCTGATATGTCATATTATAGGATTTTTTTCTCAAGGTATAACACTGCAATTCTAATAAAGAAAAAAATCAATGAAGAAAAAAATCAGTAAAGAAAAAAATCAGTAAAGAAAAAAATCAGTAAACTAATATGACTAATATTGATCTTCGCTCACGTGATTCTATTTTTAGCCGCAATTAATACGATTGCCTAGGCGGTTTGGTTCACGATGTTTGACTGCCTATGGTTAATCATAATAATTAATAATGATAGCGACGGGATAATATAATAAGATTAATGACTGCGATATTTCATAAACACGTGATTAATAGTAAATTTGACTGCGGTGCTCGTGTACTACCATTCGATGCGTCTCATTAATATGAATCCAAAGAGCTTTGGTTCATTCTTGTATGATCAATAGAAGATGTAGCACATCAATAATTTTGTAGAAAAAATTAATTTTCCAATATATGAAACTCTTGATAGGATGGATAATTTTGATGATTCAAAAAAAAAAAAAAATTCTGCTATAAAAATATTAAAAATTCGTGTAAAAACATTTTGCCTACCTTTTATAGTCCAATCAACAGGAACTTTGCCATCCAGAAGATTTCGTACTGATTTTATTTCACCTCCATATATCAGTGCAAATAAATTTGCAATGGGTAGCTTCGTTGGTGCTAGTGATGTGTTGGTATGTCTTGTGTAATCTCAAAAATTCACCTACAACCAAATTTTCAGGTATCTTCTGGCGTATCCTTAACACCTCCAACAAAAGTAGGTAATTCATTATAATCGTCCGCTTTCAAGCCGAAGAGTGCTTTCATCTTGTCAAACCTCCACGAAGAGAATGGTTGTTGAGCTGTTCAGATTAAAGCTGTTAGTATCTGTTGTGCAAATATCACGAAAAAAAAAACATAGCTAATATTAAACATTACTTACATGTGTCCATGATGATCGGGAGGACTCCTTTCCGGTCTCACAATTTATGACGAAATGCTCGTCTAAGCCTTGTCTTCAAATTATTTGCCCACGAATTACAGCCCAACAGGACGCTGTACGATGATATGTATGTTCGTCGAAAGTGGAAGCAGTTCCACACCATCATGCTCCTCCTTGATATTAACGTTTATTTTTGGGTCATTATTTCACGTGACTCGATTCTCGTTCGATAAAATAATTATGAAATAAATCGTTGTCGGAACTAGCAATTAATACATAAAAATTTGCGATACATGATAGAAAATACAAATGAAATAATTATTCGCTTTGGGGTATATGAGGACGTGGATAGGACTTCTTTCACTGATAAGGGCGCCTTTTTTGGAGAGTGTCAATATACTAGAGTGGGGGAGATAATGAGAAATTTCTCTCTGAGATTCCATAAACACTCCTTGACCATCAGTAAAACTATTTACAGAAGAGACTATGGAAAAATTGGGTTGAAAAAAATTAACTTTGTAAAGATCGAAGTTGATTATGCTTAGCACGCATCCGAAGGAATATCCAATTTATTGTAAAGGTAATGCCCTCCAGGCATTTTTTACACAAGATAAATATTCAACCAATATTTCACGTCAAAGTATCAACACAAGTAATTCATATGCTAGGAATAGTCATATAGGTGTATAATGTGGGTAAGTAGTAAGCGATATGTATATTATTAAGCGCGTAAAATATTCAAGTAGTATATTAAAGCGCGTAAATATTCAAGTAGTATATTATAAGCAATTGTATAAGGTAAATTATTGCGAGGATCAAATGTCTACAAAGTTACAACGTGCCGTTGATTAAAAATTATAGCGTGTGGTGATGATGGAATAGTGTAGTAACAAAGTAACAATTTAATCTAATAAATAATTTGCCACATACTCAACTACTTCTGCACTATCTCCATTATATATACTTTATCTGTTAGTAATCGGGAACCAAATTATTCATGTGCTAATATAAATGTTCTCCCACTATACTCTTTCTGAGACTAGTAGAATGAGACAGGATTGTGTCTTCTGATATTCTAGAGGTGTAGCATTTTTGTACGTATAATTTCACTAAGCGTCGATCAAAATGGCAGACGCTTCTGCATGTCCCTTTGGCTTTTGTTTGCAAACTAAAATTCGGGTTGTCCAAATGTCGGGTCATTATTTCAATAATGACAAAGTTATCTTTATCGCAAAAAAATAAGATTGCTTTTGTAACCTAATATGAAAAAGGTAATAGGTGCACCAATAATAAACAACCCTGATTTTTTTAAGGGGCAAAACTTTTATCGCACGTGCGACTATCGAAAATCTAAATCAGTAAAATCACACACGAAGAAATCGAATTTTCGGAATGTTAATCAACATGTAAAAAATTATGCATGCTATTGTGAGTCCATTTTGTATTAAAAAGCGGAATAACTCAGAAACAATAAATCTCGACGAATGGTACCAAATTTTGGATGAATGACTAAAAAAAAAAAATACAATAATTCGAAAAAGCATTTCAAAAATCTGTTAAAGATTGAATATTAACAAATATTAATAAATCAGTAATAAACATGCTAAAAAAAAGGTAATGACACTCTAACTCTCGAAATTTCATTGCCAAGTATTTCGATATTTTACTTTTTGGATTTATTTTTTAATTTAACGAGAAATTAAAAGTTGGGAAGTAACATTTTATGAATTATTATGAATTAGCATAGATTACTATTCGTTTTTCTTCGGTGAGAATATGTCCGATTATTCGAATAATATATTGACAATTGTTTTATTATAAGTAGAAATTCTAATAACAACATTAAGAGATAATTCGTTTTCTAAACGGAGAAAAAACAAAGATCGGAAATAATGAATACGGATTATAAATTATTATAAAAGAGTTTTGTTAGGTAACTATTGTGACTAGTATAAAATTAAAGTACATGCATAGCAAACGTTGAGCCCTGCCTCCTGGAGATGTTAAACCTTCTCTTGTAATACTAGTGATTTAAATACGGGTGAAAAATCATTACGAAATAAAAATATATCAATGTAATGTAAAAAGTCACGTAACCGGAAACTGTTCCATGATCATGTTATAATTACTTTTAGTTGCCTTCTTAACGTAATTTCTAACGACATCGTAGGACAACAGTAAGATCAAAATATAGATGTGAATTTGCATGGCGTAAACAGGATCATAATACGTTACATATAGCGCAAATTTTATCTCGGGAGTCGGGATTAAAATACAGTATATTATAAATCAGGTGACTTCGAAACCCGTGATAAAATGGCACGACCCGAATTCGAAAATCATTGCATTTTGCTTATCAAAAATAATTCAGATATTGACACTCTTACTATCAAAGTAATCATACCTTCAAGAATTATTGCAACGATTTCTACTGCATTACAAGTCACATGATACAATGAGCACTCTTCTCTCGTAAAAAAAGTAAAGCATTCAATAAAGTTTTTGCCCATATTGGGCTTTTATTTTTTAACAATGTACACATGTCTATCTTACTATTATCAGTATTATGGTTTAAATGTTTGATAGATTTACAAAACTGCATATACCGCTTCACGAGGTCATAATAAGTGGACACAAAACCAGTTACGTAACTGTTGTGTATTACCAATTTCCTAAAAACAGAGATGTCAGGTAGTTACCTAAAGAGAAATTCGTTAATAAGGATGTTAATATGAATGATGCCCTGGTTCTCTTTGGTACAGGTGAAGAGAACTACTTGGTGGAATCTTTGGTATGTTTCACATAAAAGCGTAGGCTTAAATTTTCGTCTTTTTCATATTTGCCAATAAATTACATATTCTTGGTTTATTACTATTATTTCTAATTTTTTACTTTTTTTTAGATAATTAACTCATACCTATGTTAAATAAGAAGAGTTCAATTCTTGAGAACTGATTTAGGAGATATGTAATGAATTGAGTGCCCGTTTCGAAATATCAAAAGACCAAAAGACACAAAGTTTCCATTATGTTTCAAAATTTGATGCTTTTTACCTTAATGGATTAGTTATACTGGAACTACCACGAAAGATACATCTGAAATTCTGAATTTAAATTAATTAAAGTTTTTAATAAAAAATTCGATCCGAGTGAATATATATATATATATATATATATTCAAAAATCCATTATATGATACTGGATATATTTTTGACTGACATTAGAGATAATTCTAGTAGAATGATGAATAATATTCAACGTCAAAGTAAGATATTTATGTAAATTCATTATTGAAATTTAATACAATCAATAAAAATCTGTGGGTACGGTAATAATAATCTCACCAAAGATTGCTCAATAGAACTTTATCAATATTACTTCAATGAAGCTGTAATAATTAATTAATTTAAAGTTTAGATAGATATTTAAGTTTCATTTTAATTTATTAACAATATTTAATATTTAGATATTTAGTATCCATTAACCACAAAAAAAAAAAACATTCTTATCAAAAATTATTAACAAGTTGAATCATAATAAAGTGACATATTTCGCTTTATCTTTATTTGTAAAAACAAACAAACAAACAAACAAAATTTATATATATTATTATTTCGATTTCACCGGTTATTAAAGTAATTAATTATACAAATCTATAGATTTTCTTTACGACTAGCATATTTTTGGCGCGTAAAAAAGAAATTCACGAATATTACGAATATTACAATATTAACGAAAGATAGATAGATAAAGTTTCTTGATATGTTTAAGTTTTATGCATGCATTAATTATTATTTTTTGTACCTCCAAAATGAACACAAATGACGTCCATGGGTTAACTTGATTTAGTAATAGTAATAAAAAGGTATTGATTTTATTGATTATACGTTTTAGAGAATCATAAGGAATTACGGTAATTATGATAAAAATATTTTAAATTTATTAATGGAACAAGTTCATGCCACAAATATTGTGTATAATGGTACTTATTCGATATATTTATTGTAACAGTTATAACAGTGATACAATAATACAATACAACCAAAATATGAATTGGAGTTGCTGATAACATCTTTTCATATCATATCAGTGATAACATTTTTTACGTAAATGACATAAGAGATAAATAATCGGGTATAAATTTCCGAAGATTTAATTATACGATGAAACTTTGTAAAGATTTCATGCCAAGATTCCTTAAGTTTTATGATTTGTTTGTTAGAATTTTTTTTGATACGATGAAGGAATTAAAAGGGGTCTTTTTTCCATTTTGGTTATTTTAAATAACTTTTTTGATCTAAGATATTTTTTTTTAGGTTTATAATTGGTAATTGCATTATTGTTTGTTACAATATTATATCATATTCAAAATGAATGAAGTAAATTTATTCGATTACTTGCAAAAAAAAAATGTAACAATAGATAGAAACTAAAAAAAAAAAATTTGATCGAAAGAAAAGATAAACTGAAAGTTAAAAAAATGATTTTCAATAACAATATCTTTATTAAGAATTGAAAGGGTTATAAAAAATATTTAAAAAAATATTAAAATTGTTATATTAATTTGTCTATTACAATAAAATTTTATCTAATTTGTATCTTATAATATTTAAACTGTATATTATTTAATTTGTATATTAATTTAAATTTAATATATTAAAATATCATAAAATATTGTATATTAAAAATAAAATATTTGATATATTATCTAAATTATATATTAAAATAAAAAATATTTATTTAAATTGTATATTTACAATAAATTATCAAAATTGTAACTTACAATAAAAATTACTATAATAATAATTTACAATTATTTTTGATGAATTTATAAATATTTATTACATATTTTTTGAAAAGAAACATAATCTTGCATTAAAAAAACACAATCTTACATCTTTAAAAAGGATAAAGAAAAAAGAAAAAAAAAATTTTTTTCTTTTTTTCTTTCATTATGTTCCAAATAAAAGGAATAAATTCAAAAATTAAATTCGTTTTAATTAGGATTAGTTTTTTTCTCCCTTTTCTCAAAATATAATATTTTTACACATTGCAGGATTATTTATATTAAAAAAGAAACATTTTTTTTCTTTGTTAAATAGAAATGAATTTCTCCCCTATTTTTATATTCAATTATATAAATTTATAAATTTGATCAAAAAATCTAATTATGGTACTTTTAAATGAACCTAAAAATTTTAAAAATGGATCTTTAAAAGTAATAATCGTAATTGATTCCTATAAACAATGATAACGTGATTTTAAATACTAGATTTAAAAAGGTATAGTAAATTTATTAGAAATATATATATATTATACATATATATATATATATATATATATATTTTATTTTATTTTAGCAAGAAGACGTAGAAATATCTTACTTCTTTCTTAAAATTTTTTTTTAAAAAAAGGAAATATCTTTTTTTTTATTTTAAAACAAGAGAATATATGTGTATANAAAAAAAAAAAAAAAAAAAATAATAAGGATTAATTTATAGAACAAGTAATAGCACAGCATAAATAATGAAACTACGCAATTCGGTCAAACTTTGTTAATGATTGTAACGAAAATGATTGTCACGCCAAATTGTGTTGCATGTGTAATTTATTTAACTTTATAATAAATCATTGTTATTCATTTGATTCTTTTTTAGAAAAAAAATTTTTGAAATCAAAATCGATTATTGCCGATTGTCAAAGATTTTCAACAAAAAAAGGCCTTCTTTTACGGATGTAACCTAAAAAATTTCGAATTCAAAATTTCCTTTTTTAAATACGAGTGCATTATAATGTATAATAAAAAAAAAAATTCAGTTTATCATATAATTATATATAAACGGATTAAATTTAAATACTGTAATTAATAATACAGAAACAAAAAAAAAAATAACAACAAAAAAAAAATCAATTAAAATTTTAAAGATTACTTTTTTTATTTTTTTTTTATGAAAACGAAATGTCGATAGAAAGTGATAAAGATGAAATCACATTATCAAATATGCCTCAAAATGATGAGGAAATACAACCATCACAAACTTCCGATAATGCCGACCCAGGAAGGAATAAAATCTTTGGTGTTTTTTATGGTATTGGTGTAAACATAAATAACGTAATTGGGTCAGGAATTGTCACTTCACCAGGAATTATTTGGAAGATGGTAAAATCCCCTGGGATCGTATTATTATTATGGGTAATTGGTGGATTAGTTAGTATGGCAGGTTCATTAACCTATGTTGAACTTGGAGTTATACATAGGATAAGTGGTGGTGAAACAAAATATTTACAAACTGCTTTTCCAAATCCAAAACTTATGATTAGTTATCTCTTTAGTTTTATGTATATTTTGTAAGTGTGAAATCCTGTTATTAACTTTTGATTTTGCGTTATATTAATACAATACCCTTTTTTTATTATTATTATTTAGCGCAATTCGACCGGGTATTTTGAGTGCTGTCTTACAATCTGCGGCTCAGTATTTATGGTATACTGTTAATGGAACTCGTTATGATGTATCGTTTCAACCAGATAAGGATGGTTGGCACCTTCCTTTTTCTCCATTTTGGTAATTGTTAAATAAAATGATTTTTTAAAATTTAACAATGTTCAGATAAATAAAATACATAAATATAAATAATCTATTTTTTTTTTTTTTAGGTATATAAAAATAATAGCGGTATTAATTTTATTGGTTATAACTTTATATCATATGCTAAGTAATAGATGGGCAAATTATATAAATCAATCATTAGCGGCCATTAAGTTGGTCACATATACAATAATAGCATTTGCAGGAATTTGTCGATTACTTGGAAATTGGTCAACAAGTCGAATAAATTGGCAACAATCAATAAGTGGAAATACTGATCTTACAGCCTATTCTTCCTCTATACTATTGGTAATAAATACAGTATAACTCTGTATAAGTTATTTTTTTCATTAAAGAATTTTTACTTAGATATTATTTTTTTTTATAGATTATGTTTAGTTATGATGGATGGAATAGTTTGAATTGTAAGTCGCACAAGATTAAAATTTCTTTTAATTTGAAATAATATAACCAATTATTTGAATTATTTGATTTTTTATAGATTCTCTTGATGAATTTCGTAAACCGGAAAAGAAGCTCATATACAGTAATAGTATTAGTGTTGGAATTGTTACATTAGTGTGTATGTATATCAATGATTTCAGTAATTCATTTATATATATGATGTTAACATTTTTTACGTTCGTCGTTGTACAGATCTTCTTGTAAATATATCATTTATTTCAGTTGTACCAGAAGAATCCATAAACACAACTGACACTGATGAAACAATAGCTGCAACATTCTTTCGTCAATTATTTGGTGGATCTGAAGTAATGGTTAGAATTTTCACCGCTCTAGTTGTACTTTCCGTAGTTGGTACAGCTGCATCAACAGTATGGAGGTAATTTCTACAGTCAATTATATTGAATTAATAATGAATTATATCTCAAGTTATAATAAGTTATAAATAATGTTATAATAATAAAAATTTTATTAATTTTTTTTAGTGGTTCAAGAGTTGTTGTTGCTGCTGCTGCATCAAATTTTTTTCCTGTATATTCTTATGAATTAAGAACTTGGAATAAACATTTTGATACACCAATTAATGCTTTATTTGCACAATTTATTTGGTGTTCATTAATTATATTTTTTGTTGGTGGTAGTTTTACTGTTACAGGTTTTATGTTATTTTCAGCATTTTCAATGTATAGTTATTGGATTTTTTATTTCGCTACTGGTGTTGGATTATTGGTATGTAGAATAAGATTTTTTTTAAAATGATTTAAAAAAAAATTTATTATTAAAAATTGTACTTAACAATGTGGTTAAACAATTTAATTAACAATTGGTTTAACAAAAAATAATTAATTTTTATAGGTAATTCGATATAGGAATAGAAGGAAATTACATAGAGACTTACATATTTATGGAAATGAAGAAAATCCACCTAGATTATCAGCAGATGAAGAAAAATTTTATAAAGCACCATTAATTGCAATTGGAATATTTGTATTATCAGGATTTTTTATATTAACATTTTCTTTTGTGGTAAATGATCAATGTCCAGGACTTGATTCAAAACAATGTAGAATTCAACAATTATCACCTATATTAATTAGTTATGGATTCCTTTTAATAGCAGTAATATGTTGGTATATATTATATGTTTGGTGGGAATCAAAGAAAGCTAAAAGAATTATTAGAATACCAGCTGATGAAGATAATGATAAAATAGAAATTACCGTATAGCAACATTAGCACTATTAGCACTGCTAAAAAAAAAAAATACCCCGAATTTACCTGGGGTATCAGAAGAATTTACTAGATATATATATATATATGGAAGATTTTATTACATAGGTATTTTTATATATTATATGGTGTGTTTTATGGGTTGTTTTATATTAGGGTACGCCAAAAAGGTTAATTCAGTGTTATATAATTATTTTAATTATTTAATGTATAATAGTAAATAGATTATTGTTTTTTTTTTTTATGTATTTTATTCTTATTATTATTTTTTTATTGTAATAATCTTTTTTTTTTTAAAAAAAGAAAAAAAAAAAGAAAAAAAAGTAATCATTAAAAAAAAAGATCTTTTGATCGATTTTATTTATTTATTTTTTTCACGAAAGTTTTTTTTTGATGCGTTCTCTTTACATTAGGTTAAAAAAATCGGTTAAATAAATATTTGAATTTTTCGATTATTTCAACTATTTCAACTGTTTCAACTATTTCGACTATTTCGAATATTTCAACTATTTCAACTATTTCAATTATTTCGACTATTTCGACTATTTCAAATTTCAATTATTTCAACTATTTCAACTTTTGAAACAAATTTATCTATAATACAAAAAAGGTAATTTCATTTTATTATATTAATTTGATGTTTTTGTATGTTATAATATTTATAACTTTTATGCTAATTTTATTTATTATTTTATATATCCCTCATATATAATTTGGTTATCCAAATAGGATGGATTACACTGTATAATTTATAATTCCTAAATCCTAAATCCGCAAAATCTAAGGTAAATAATCTGCAAAATCAAAGAAATTTTAAGAATTTAAGAATTTAAGGTAATTTTTGTCGGTATCGGGACATTTCGCCGAAAGCCATTTCGCCGAAAAATAATCCCCGGCCTGAGTTATTTATAATTCTGCATAATGTTGGCCCTATTTTTCGGCGAAACGTCCTTTCGGCGAAATGTACTGTAACCTTTTTTTGGGTATATTTTTGTCCTATCTCCGAATTTAAAATTCAGATTATTGAAAAAATTTTAGAATCTTTAATCTGAAATTCTGAAATTCTGAAATTTTAATATGTTGAAAAAAATTATCCTTGATTTAAAATTCATTAAGGCCATACAAACTTGATTTTTTTTGGGTTTCATAATGTAAAAATGACCCGGTGATTTGACTCTGCTTTTAATTTTTTTTTTTTTAAAGAGTTCTAAATTTTATATATAAAAAATTCATATAAAATTTTTTTTTAAAGAGTTCTAAATTTTATATGTAAAATCCATATGAAATTTTCTTAAAAGAATTCTAATTTTACATGTAAAAAATTCATATGAATTTTTTGTAAAGAATTCTAATTTTTACATGTAAAATTCATATGAGAAATTCATGTGAAATTTTTTTTTTAAAGTCCTAATCTTATATGTAAAATTCATATGAAATTTATTTAATTTTATATGTAAAAATTCATATGAATTTTTTTTATTTAAAGAGTTCTAATTTTATATGTAAAATTCATATAAAATTTGTGAATTTTTTTTTTAAAGAGTTCCTAATCTTATATGTAAAATTCATATAAAATTTTTTTAAAGAATTTCTCACTGACCCCACTGACCCGTCTGGGATATGAAAACCAAAACCAAATTTTATTACTTTGTGTCGCCTAAGAAATTGAAATTATTGAATAATTCAAATTCAGTTAGTATTGAAATTTCCGTAGAACGCGGAGCATAGTACCTTCGTGTATCTTAACTGCCATGTACCCCTTATTACGTGATTTATGATCGGGGTATTTGGGTATCGTTACCATTGTAACGGTTTCTCGATTATACAGTAAGATCGTCAAAGAATGAAATTTAAGGGGTATTTAGGTATTTAACTTGTACACAGGGGAGGGGTACTTTGTACTGTTTACCCGCAAATATACCACATTTAAAATTTCGCATGTCTGAATTTAAATTTCGGATAAATACCGCTTGACTTCAATATTAATTGGTGATCCGTCTCCAAACCAGTAATACATTTCGGGAATTATTTTTACAAATATTTTTACAAATTAATTAACAAGAAATTTAGACAAGAGTAGCAGATATAGACTTATGAAATTAGTAAAGAAAGGTAGTTTAGAAGAAATTGACATTCCAAAAGTATCCACAATGATATACCGCATATAAATAATATTTTAATAAAAAATATTAACTTTGTGATTGGTAAACTACTTGTAATTGAATAATATAGCATTTTTAAAGGCGCTAAAGAAAACTAGTCATACAATATAAACGAATCCCAGTTTTAAGCAATTGGTTTCACTATTTTTCAGCTGTAATACAAATTTGGCTAGTTACTTTCTAGGCAATATCACCAATTTGTATAACATCGTGAAACTATTATATGATGACGCAAATTTATCATTCAAGAACGTTATTCTATAACTTTTTTTTAAAAAATAAATCCGGACAATTTAGCTCAAAAGCCATTTAAGGGATAATTAATCTGCAAAAATGATTACCTGAAATGTATTAGTTTTCACTGGTTCGGGGACGGACTTTTTAATTTATATTTTGTATCACACTTAAATTTTAACACGTAACGCAATTTCTATGAATTATATTTAGAATAATTGGAAATTTAATTATTAGAAAAATCATAAATGCGTAAATGCTAAAGATATGAACGCATATATATAAGTTCGTTATTCCAAGTGTTTAATGACCTAATAACCTAACCTTTTCATGAAAACTCATTTAAAGATTTGGTTTTTCATTTTTAAATGAGTGAACAGTCGTACAAAAGAAATTATTGTTGTTTATTTTGTGTACCGCGTGGAAATATGATTGTCCTTTTCCTTAATAAGAGTTGACACCTCGATCACAAGTTAGTAATTGTATTATTACTGTTCGTTTTAAAATTTTAAAATGATGTGGTCAAATTGATCATCAAAAAGCTGGTCAAGATTTGATAAGGATTTTATTTTTTTTCAATATTTCACTTTCATTTTTCTACATTTTACAACAAAAATAATCAATTTTTTTTACAATACAGTTCACCCTCGCTATAGTGAATTTTTATATAGTGAATAATTTGCTATAGTAAAGAAAAGCTCAGGTACGGATTTTCTATATAAATAATAATTCTTAATACAGTTCACCTTCGCTATAGTGAATCCCTTACTATAGTGAATCTTAACCTTCAGCCCATGAGCTTCACTATAGCGAGGGTGAACTGTACTCTGATATTTTTACAATACTATGAAACTCTGTTAACTCTATTTAACTCTGCTAAGCTCTATTTAACTCTGATAAGCTCTATTTAACTCTGATAAGCTCTATTTAACTCTGATAAGCTTTATTTAACTCTGATAAGCTTTATTTAACTCTGTTGACTCTAGTAAAAAAAATGGTTACCCTCGATAAAGTATTATTATTATAAAGTAAATTGGTAATCATTTACATATTTACGCTTTACTATATTAGAGTGGGATGATAATCATGGGATTGTCGTCGATCAGGGAATTGTTTGTTTGTTTAAATTTATTTTACATTTGGTTTAGTCAGCGGTTAGTCATTTTTTAATGGTAATTTTACTTATTGGAAACGAAAGTCCGAAATAAAAATATTTAAACCTAATTTTTTTTTTTTCTCAAGTTTCACATTTTATTACTTTAATTAAAATAATTTTATTGTGAACCAAAAATGGTAATTTCGAAATCCGGATATTGATATTGAAAAAGATTTGATTCGATTGAAAAAACACTGCATTATTAAAAATTTATATATATTGTATATACATAATATTTGAATTTAACACATTAAACAAGTATTTAAAGTACAAAGTAAGGCAACAATATTAATAATAGTAAATAAATAATTAATTAACCTTATTTGGTTTTTTATAGAGAAAATTATTATTATTCTTATATCAATATAAAAAAAAAAAAAA